TCTTATATACTACATCCCTATCTTTTTCACGAAAATTCAGATCCAGCGATTTAACGCAATTAAACAATCTTATGTAATACTTATACTACTACATATATATAAATATATTATAGATGAAACTGTCGATTTCCTTCGGGTATGCAGTCAATTCAAGCTTTCGAGTCTTCATTGGCTCTTCATCAGGATTTCAATAAAACTATTAAAATTGATATGGAAATTAAATCTTTGTTATCGATTATAAAACACTTTACATGTGTAAAAGAACATTCACAACATGAAAACATCAATATTTTTGAACGTTGATAAAAAATTATTACATTACCTATATTTGATTTTCGGTAACTATTACAACATGGCTGACAAACAGAAGCAGAACAGTAACATGGACATCTGTCTGAATGAATTATGTAATGATCAAAATTTCATCTGTCATGAGTCAATTGTCAAAATTCAAAATTCGGAAATAACGGCAATTCATTAAAGTGACTAGAAATAGAAGAGGAGATGGACATTCCCATGATGGTATTGCCATCTGTTGATTTTTACCGGGAAATTTGAAATTCTTTAATGATTGTTATGTTATTGCGATTAGCTGGTAAACTTAAAAGGTGAGAGTAAATTATGCTTAAATTGTCTATGTCAGTTCTAGTATTGATAATGTTCGTTGATTTGAAAATATGTGTCATTTCTGAATAGGTTCTTTTTTTCAAGTTTTATTCATGTTCTAATATTGTCACATCATCATAATATGGTCTGTGATCATAGGTATTCACATGATGTGCTAAAGAAGAAGTTGATTTGGACAATCTGTCACTTTTGTGGAATATGATGCGGTATTTGATTTTCCTTTTTGTTTGGCCTATATATTTCTAGATACATTGCGATATAAAAAAGTACAATTTTGATAAACAGTTTTCTTATTATCTTGGAGATGGTTGCTCTCAAAACAATGTATACAATTGCTATCTGATTAAAAAAAAAAAATGAATTTATGTGACATGAAATAGGTGAATTTAAAAAAAATATCGTTGCCGAGGGGCTCGAACCACCAACCTTCGTATACTCGCGCAACAAACCTATCAGTTGCGCTACATCATCTGGTAATTATATAAAACACAATAACTTGAGTAATCGAAGGAGATTACTTCAAAAAGGAATTTGAATTCTGGTATTGTTGTGTCAGACCGTCAACAAATTATGCAAACTTTTCAAATTGCACATGAAACGTCCAGCCAGAATAACATTGTCTCGCCTCTCGTACGAAATGTCTCACTAACGCAAATTATAAGTGAATAAAATAAAGTAGGAACATAGGTTATTCTCTCAGATTCGAATCCAAAGCAATCTTGACCAGACACGATGTCGAAGTTTTATCGCAGATAAACGAGGTTTGTTGGTCACGTGTGGGTTAATTCGGCTTCTGTATTGGCAGAGCAAGTCCGGTGAAATTTATTGAACGAAAAATATCACTAGAATACAGAAGAAACCGTGGAACTGGTCGATTCTGATTGGTTCTCGAGATCAAGAGTGGAATAGTCAAGAATAAAAGTTTCATATTTAACAAAATAGGTATCGAGATAGATAAAAAAAAGGTTCATTAGAATCAAAAACTATTTTCAAGTATCTGATCACATCTACCTACGTTGAGAATCATGATTCACTATTCTTCACAATTTCTGATTGATTTTTATTTGAAATTCGTTCATTATCAATTTTACGGAAAAATAATATTCCTCATAGGAAGTTCTGTAGATCATGGAACCAAGAATGTGAATTTCAGATTTCAAATTTGTGCACTCGTTTGTTGCAAAATCTTGAATACATTGTGAACAATAATGAAACCTGATTATCTTCGTAGCCAGATGTAATCATACATTCGAACGTAGGTTTCAATTTCATACGATAAAGCAATTTTCGATATGGTCAAAAATAAAAGAACTTCATTCTCTTGAGCAAACTCAATTTTTCTTGACATTGTTAACTCTCAATCAAGTGAGAGAAAAATGATATATGATAATTGTATTTTTGGTGTAAGAGCATGCGGTTTCTCTGGTGAGGAATATTTTCTCATAGAATTGATAATACTATAGTGCATCATAATATGTATTTAACCCAAGTAGACACACTGTATATTTGTTCGTTTTATAGACATGATATATGTGAATTACGTGATTGAATATTATTCGATATTGAAGAAAGTTGCCTGAACATTGATGTAGCTTGCATTCCTGATATAAGTATTGATTACAATTGAACAAAGATTTGTTAACTATTACTTTCCATGACTTACTGTTCAAGAATTATCCATCCATAATTGAGGTTAATTCAGGTATAGGGAAAGTGATATTCGTTCATCATTCAGAATATCTGTTTCAGCAAACTGAAAATATGATTTGATTTGCTAATATTCACATAAGTTTCGCGTGTTATGTCTGATTTTTTTTCCTTATAGTACGTCATTCTCAGCATTGATCTTGCAACTGCTCCAAGGTGAAGTTGATTTGAAGGGAGTTATCCACTTTTTCATATACTTATTGAGATGGATGTCGCTTTTTTCAGAAGCATTATTTTTATTATTCAATTTTGGGATACGACAAGCTTCGATAGGTATATGTTAAAGGCAGTTTTTCACACAACAATGCCATATTTCTTGATAGACTCTACAAGTGACAAGTATATTGTTTTCATGATTCCGTCAGACAATTATGAGTATTCATTAATTGTTTCTTTTTCTTTTTGGTGACATAGTTTATATGTGCTCTCTCCACGGAAGTGGTTCCTCCACACAAATATTCAAGAAATTTACATATGTCCTTTCAAGATTTTTCTGTGTGAATTAACATTGTTATTCTGGGGTGCAATGGAGTTTATGTAGATTCTTGCTTTGTATATCAGTAGGTAGGGATTTATTGGACGAAGTAAAAGTCATAAAATATGTTTGTTGTACTCACATTCGAAAAGAGAACAGGAGTTTATTCACGTGAATATTGAATGGAAGTGGTCCCAGTACTGTGCCCTGTGGCACACCAAATCCTACTTCTAGACGTTCACTCAAGACATTGCATATGTCGTTTGCAATACCCCAATGCCAATATTGTTAAGCATTACCGAAGAAATGGGTGTGCCACATTGTTGACGGCTTTGGCGAGGTCCAAAAATCTTTCAAAAATTCTTTCTGCCTGATCGAGATTTTGTAGAATCATTTTTGCCACCATACACATAGCGTTTGTGTTTGATACATTGTTCAATTGAATTTCTCAAGGACCTAAGTGCGATAGGTCTCAAGCACAATTATATAGCACTTTTGAGACAATTTGGGATACTTCCAGGATAGAAAAGCACAATGAATAATCTGATTCTAGGGTTCAAGTGAGTGAATAGATTCATTTTCACAATCTTTGTACCTGAATTTCCTTTCCTGCATTCAGCTTTGTCTCATGAGCTTTTTATTTGAGTCAAAAGTTTGACGTCAGTCGAAGGGGAGAAATAGAAGGAGTAGGGATTGTCACATTCATTTTCTGCGACATTTTGATCATTTTATTGACCAATTTTGTGATCTAATTGTTCACCTATATCGCTGAAATCTGACTCGAATTCGGTTGCTATTTGCTTGATGGGTTTATGGATTTTTGTGTAATTGCTCTCCAGAACACTGTCTATTTCCATCTGTATGATCTACTTACCAAAGGCCTCAAGTATCATCTTCCAAGTTTTTTATTGATCATTCGAGCTATTTTTGTAAGGGACTCATTATAGATATTTTCATGGACGCAGCTCTTCTGACATATCAATAGTCGTTCCTCCCTTGGCAGTCCCCGCGAGATTAACCCGACGAGTTGAGGCTTCACACCCCTTCGTGGTCACTTTGTAGATTTTCAGAACATCTCATGCCAAGGACTTGTTCACCAATAAACAGCAAGGCTCTGGAACACTTTGCCAAAGCAGGTGTTCTACGAAACATATAACCTCCAGTTATTTGAGAAGAACACCAATTCCTTACTTATTTCTATAGGTTCTCACGATGTTCCATGAACATAACAGGATATATCTTTTCGTGGGAACCAGGACATAATAATTGAAAAAATATGCATTTCTTCAATCAGTTTCTGAAGTATATTTCTGAATGTTTCGTTTCTGTTTTGTTTTGTGGCTACAGTCACTGTTGAAATCTTATTCTTGTCTTAGGCGCTCACTCTTCTTAATTGATGACATTATAGGCCACAAGTGATCGAGAGTATTTGTCATTATTTTTTCGTTTCTTATAGATTTTTTTACTCGCGGACTGACTTATAAAATTTTTCAGTCTGGGTATATAGAAATATCTGTGCATAATATGTCAATATCAAGACTACCCAGAACATCATTTCATCCAAACATTTCATAAACAAAATAGCAACAAATTTGTATCATGCGCTCTTGTTGTGACACTCGTAATGGAGTACAAATCATTCGTCATTAATTTCATGCAACTTTTAGTTTCGACTTCTGACGTAGATATTTGTGTTCTTGGATAGATACTCCACATACTGAGCTGTTATCAAAAAGAGACCTAATAACTTGGATTGTCGCGTTCTGACAACTTATAACACAAAGCTCTGTGCCGTTAGAAACGAATGAGTTTCGATATATTCTTGTTTGACATACTTCGAGGTTGACAACAGAAGGATGTGTTGACTGAGACTTGCTACCCGCCTTCAGCTCTCTTCACAATTTTCATATTCGTGAGTGGGTCATGAAAAATTTGGGCAGCTTCTCATGCGACCGTGAGAACCATATGGCAATAACCCTGGAGAAATTGCTCCCAATTCAAATCGATAAGGATGATTTGATATCGTTCGAGCTGAGAAAAACAAATCTTTGGTGACGTTAACTCTGACGCCGGTCGTTACTCCATTCGAAAAATAAATTCTAGGCCGTTGCCATAGTACCTGTCACGGAATATTTTTTCACGAATTCTGACCGATTGAACAAACACTTTGTGAGTATAATGTGATAAGTAAGGATATTTCAGGAATATTTGTTATCTCTTTATTCACAGTGCACACTCACTAAGAATGTATCATCAGATGAACATTTTCGCGATGACTACGCGGTGAATGTCAGTGATCTTCCAACTGATTCCTTGTTTGCAGACCAAGCTGTAACAGTCACATTATGAAGTCTTCCCTGATGTAATTCATCCAATACGACGAAATTTCTTCTTGATTCCATCAATAGTGCTTCATCGTAATCTTCATGGGAATATTCCAACAATATGGAAAATCTGTCTTGAATACTATCATCATTCGATAGCCAACATACCTTGACAGTATTTGTCGAACGTGAGCATACATTCAGGACATTCACAGGTAGAGGTGCTGAAATGAGAACATCATTGATATTATTCTTGGGATGAAATACAGGATTACAGTTTTTTTCAATATTCCGAATTATTTGAGTTCAACCATCGTTTTCATCCTATTCCACTAAGTATGTACACAAAATCGAGAAATCGGGATGAATCGGTTGATAATGTTTACCAGTGGAGGATTTGAACTTATTGTGATGAGTCCTATAATGTGGACAAGAATGAAGATCTGTTCCTGAATACAAACGCGTATTTTCAATGTACTGCTTTTTTCAGGAAGCCTCATTGTAACAGCGATACACTAAGAGCATGAGCCAGTTGAAAGATCAGGAACACAATGAGCTTCATGGATGCATTGCATGATTTTTCGCACCTGTCTTGAGTCGATCGAACATTGGTGATCATTTCATCAGTCAACAGTTCTTGTATGCAAACTCATGAGGTAGGTGTATTAGTTAAGGTGTCAAACTGGTTGGTTTGATGGTTGAATGTGTAACAAATGTTTCAGGAAGACCGGAATAACCGGCATATTATGTGTTTTAAAGTAGGATGTTTCAGCTAGTCAATCAGCACGAAATATAACAAATATATGCAGTGGATAATCAGATATTCAACTGGACTGGTGTTCCCATTCCTTGCAGCACAGTCTGCAAACTGTTTACCTTATCCGCGATGCAATTCTCATTATGATAGAGCCTGCGGAAAGCAAATACAGCGCGTGGCTATGAAGCGAGGACAAATCAATGTAGAGTGGTCAATTCCAATACTCAGTGATGAATCGTGTATGTCTAAACGACTGGTTTCAGAATTCAATATACCGGGAATTCTTTCCCAGATCTGTATACATACATACAAAATATTCTCATAGATACCTACAGTGTATTACAATTTGGTCCATCCCGCCGCAGTACTATCGTATTCCTAATACGATTCCAGTTTCTTTTATCTCTTCATATATCTCTTCATATATATATATTATCTACTTTGTCGAGCAGAGAAGAATTTTCGAACTCAATTTCTAATTCAATTGCGATCACAAGAACCGAAAAAGTGAAGAAAACAGATGAGGCATTTTTTTTTCTGAATTCTAATAATGGCAATCGATTCGAACCTACCACGAATACTCCTACATACATTTCTGTAACAATATATACTATGAAGTAAATTTCACCAACTTTACAATTCTTGAATAATTGCATTTTTCTTATCACCGTGTGTAATTTCTTTTTTTTTTCAGGAATTTCAATGATATTAGACATGATGGTAGTCAGGATCAGATCATCTCACATCTGGCTTTAGAGTCAGAAATTCAGGCCAAGAAATAGAGGAGAGTTGCGACAGAGAATAATGACAGTTTGCAGATAGATACCACCAGAGGAACTGGTAAGATCTGAAGATAATGTGCGAAAGAAGTATAAAAAGTGTATAGAGAATGAAGGAGATTTGATCAAAGAGACAGGAATCTGAACTTGTTAGGAATGATTGCTGTTTTAGTTTTTCATTTCAAATTCTTCAATGTTATTCTCCCATTGGTATTATCTAGTTTTATTTTCTACTTTTCATTTCTTGATAGAAAATCAGAATTTCTAGTGATTTTATTTCGTATTTGTCTCACTCTGTGAACGGATGGTCTAATCCAAGCTATCATTCAGTCCTATAGTGTCACATTGAAATTCTTATGAGAATCATTTTACACGGCGACTTGATGAATGCAATCATTCAAAAATTGTCTCGTTGATGAAAAACACCTCTTGTTGGGTATTCAAATTATACTCATATTAAAATGATCATTGGATATTTTGTTTTCTTATAAGTACGACTTCCAATTTTGAAAAAAAATATATTATTGACTCTGCGACAGTGGAGTATTATTCGATGAAGTTTTTCCAAATATCTCGCGCTCTCTAAAAGGCAGATTTCATGGCTATACTACCACCAACTCTCGCTCCAACTGCTGCTCTGTGGCAGAATGAAAAGATGAGAGAAATCCGCTACGACTCTTTACGCGCTCACGTGAGTGAGGAATCTTTTTTTTTCAATAATTATTATCATCTTTCCAAATGCTTTTCATCAACAACGGTGTGAGTACCTATGGTGAGAAACGCTGAAAAATGTTGATGGTGTTGATAACCAGAGCAGTACTCTTCACACTTTGGCCAGCCAGAAGAGAAACTGAGACAAAGTGAGTCATTTTTGCCAATCAGTCGTGTTCCAAAACAGTTTGATAAATATCGTTTTGAGAATCAATATAAGAGTATTTGTGACTAGTCCGAATCGATTGCTATTATCAATTAACTTCCACCACACTATTGATCTACTACATTGGCATTTTAGCGTGAGTATATATTATAATAATTATGATTTCTATGTGAGAACTGGAAACCGAATGAGGGTAATATATCGATATATATATATGAATGAATGAATTTTGATATTGATGATAATTCGGATGATGAGTCATCGCTTTATCGATAATATCGATTATTTCATGATATCGATGATATTGATGATATTTGTATCATCTATAATACCGATAAAATCGATCACATGATGCTCAATTTTGCTCAATAATTCATGATAACTTTTGATAATTATCGATAATTCTGAAAAATTTCTTTGATAACTGATCGTTATTGGCCACCCCCACAGGCCATTCCAACTGAAAAAAATTAAAACGATAGGGAAACGTTGACCTTCGCTTCAGTTGGTGGATATTGGAGACAATATTGTACTTGCCTCATATTATGACTTACGACATGGCATGAAGTTTGGAGTTTTTTTTTTATTGAAATATGTTCACATCACAGAATTTTCTTCAGTTGCAATGGATCCTGAGATCAAACCAGATTCAAAGTGGAAGTCATTCATACTGTAATGATCCAGTGAACTATTCATGTCCGCCTGTCCATAACATGAATATATCACAGTCAATATGCTACCAAGTAGGTATTTTTCATCAACACAATCACCAAGAACATTGTGTAACTATATATAAATCACTAGATATTTTCAGTACCCTAGTGAATTATTAGTTTCTGTTCGCATGAGGCGTTCGTCACACTGTTTCAGCAGGTATTCAAGTTCAAGATGAAACCTGTTAAGGAAAGATATCATTCCATGATCTGTTCCAAAGTCAATTTTTATATTCGGTAAACAAGACAATAACTCGCGACCAGGCTGCCTGAGCCTTCAACCTTCGTTCTAAATTCGCACAGCTTGAGCGTCAAAGTTATTTTCACTTGATTATTTATAAGTGATAGCAGACCCTGCGCGCTCTTCAATTACTCAGCCAAGTTCACACCACACTAGATAACCTGGGATGGAACGCTGGTTCGAATCCGAGATGTCATACCTGCGTCTATGATGGGAAATACAATGATTGTAATAGGGATTCTACGAGTGTATCGGATACTGAAAGAATGCACCGTTCTCTCTCTGATGGCGATTTGCCTTGCGATGATGCCACGTTTGAGCTTCAAATTGTATTTACAAAAAGGCACGTCCTTATTATGACTATCACTATGATATCTCTTGATATCTACCTCGCCCTCTTCCTCGTCATCTTTTTTCCATAGTTATATCACGATGTGCTATTTGAGAACAATCATAAGATCTTTAGACATTCAGAATGGTCATTTTTCGTTTATCTATAGAGAATTGTTGATGGAACAATTTTGTTTATCCTACTGGAATCCTACGGATTTTGTATTCCTGTTATAAATGCTGGTGAAGATAGTAAATATATGATTTGTTCATAGTGTATGTTTTTCCAAACTAATGCTATGAAGATAACTAGGACTGATGAATTATGGAACTTGTAGACTGAAACGTCTGTGGTCTGCTGAAAAAAAATTTATATTCTCCTGTGAGAGAAGGAATATCAGCGCTGATGATTTATTCCATTGGGCATTGTATCTTCTTCTGGGTTCACAAAACATTTTTAGGACCTTTCAGTCATCCAATTTTTTACTGAAAGGCACACTGGAAGGCCACAGTAGTGGCCACAGTAGTTCTAGTATAACTAACGAATTGTGACTGAAGCAGATTATCAAAATAACAACTGCTGCTATCATCCATGAATTCATTGATGAATTTAAAAATAGGTATATAAGTAATATCGTTACACTAAAAGGGCAATGGATCTCATTCAGAATCTCTACTAGAATATTGGAACTACTAATAAAGGCGAATGTGATAACTGCTGAGTATTTTTTCATATGCATCGACCTGGAACTAATCTTGTTGGATTGATATCATTGTATTGTCTACTTCTACTTCTTCCTCTGTGTCTACTGGGTGGTGCCCACAAAATTTTGCTTCGAAATTTTATGGAATAGAAAATCATAAATTGTAACTTGAACCTACGGATTCTCTCATGAATATTGAGCTGTCGAACATTGGGACTATAATTCCATCTCTGTGAAATAAAATTGGCGCCAATACTTCAAGTGCCTTCCAATATCATTCTGAGAATAAAATATTCCATGGAATTTTCTTCATCAGAACAAGATAATTTTTCCCGGTTATATTTCTTTTTTTTTACGAAACAATAGTATGACAACGAATGTTCATCATTGTGTTTTGGAATCAGTACTTTGTATTTACAGGATATTTCATATACTGGGTGAACACAGTGTGCCGATCGTCTAGTGTGTTAAGGTGGTGCATTGTGATGATATTTTGGTAAATTCTCTCTAAAATATTCATATTAGGTGTTCTCGAGTGGACAATATTCATACAAGATGTCCGACAATGTGTAGAGTTTTCAAGAAGTGATTTCGATCGATTCTGGAATTTTTGGTAAATTTTTTAAACTCTCTTGCTATACAGGGTGTAGAGCATATTGTGTTGTGAACGAGTGGTCATATTCTGCATATCAGTCTCCTTGTTAAAGGAGGAACCACCATTTTTTTTCTCAGTACAGGGTGTTGTCTGATTGATAGGCCATTGAATTTCGGTTTGTTCAAACTTTGGAGCATGAGAGTCAAATATAATATAAATACTCATCAT